ATGGGGAGTCTGCTCACTGCTGTCCTGTGTGGATAGCAAAAGGCAAGAGGCAATTTGAAAGTCCATTAGCAGGGGAGGAGCTATATGATTTATGCTACACACAGAATAGAATGCCTGGCCACTGTTGAAAGAAATAAGGCAGATTAATGGTTCTTAAAATGTGGTCCGCAGACATCTGATAACTATTTTGTGATACTAAGAACATCATACGGCTTTTTCAATGTGTTGACATTTGCACCAATGGTGCAAAACTGATGGTGGGTGAAACAGATGTCACCTTAGCCTAAATCAAGGCTGTGGTACCAAACTGTATCGAGTCATCCTGTTCTTCACCCTTGTGCATTCCTTGTTTTTGTTTTCATTTTTCTGTTTTAAGTTGCAGTTTCACTTTCTGAAGAAGCTGAAGAATTTTTAATTTTATTAATTTTGGTCCTTCAGGAAATGGCTTTTTAATATTTGCTGTGATGAAATTGCAGATAGAGCACCTCTGCAGACCACAGCATGGTAGTCGTCTAGAGAACAGCGTGCATACGATGGATCCGGAGCAGAACTAGCCCCCTTTCCAAAGGAACATCATTTCTTACGCCACAGAACAACTGATAGGCTATGACTATTAGTGGTTGGGTAGCTGGAGCGCCTTCTTGAACAACGAACAAAGCGAACCTGCCACTTCAAGGTAAATGGTTGATAGCACAGGTGACCCTTGAACAACATGGGTTTGAATTGTGTGGTTCCACTTATGGGCAGAAAGTTTTCTATAAGTATAGTAGAAAATTTTTTAGAGATTTGTGACAATTTGAAAATGTGTCTTTTCTCTAGCTCACTTCGTTGTAGGAATACAGTATACAACACATGTAATGTGCTGTAAAAATATGTGTCAATCGAATGTTGTCAGTAAGGCTTCTGGTCAACAACAGGCTATTAGAAGTTAAGTTTTGGAGGAGCCAGTTATATGCAGATTTATGACTGTGCAGGAGGCTAGTGCCCCTTATCCCTGTGTTGTTCAAGGGTCAACTGTTTGGCTATGAATCCTAACATTTGAGTTTCAAGTAAAAACTAAGATTTTGGAAAACTTGAATATCGTGTAAGTGAAATGTGTCAACATGGCCAACACAAAATGCTATGAAATTATGCATCAGTCAAGGATCCATTAAGTGTGCAAGATAGAGTAATAGATTTTAATGTAACAGTGTGAAGAGTTGATTTTGTATGCTTTCAGTTTCCATGTTGCGATTAAACTTCAAAAAAACTCACTTTTCTGCCTTTTGGTGTAGTGTCAAAGAAGATGATAACCACAATGATCTGAAAAAGCTATTCAAATACTGGTTCCTTTTCCAAGTATATTTCCAGCCATCTGTGGAGGGCCAGATTGTCTTTATACTCTTCAAACAAAGCAACAAATTGCAACAAATCAAATGCAGAAGCAGATGCATATCCAACTCTCTCATCCTAAGGGAAACATTAGGGACATACAAAAATGTAAAACAAGGTTTCTTCTCATTTATGTTAATAAGTAATGGCTTGTTGTCATTTTTAAATAACAGATTTATTGAGATATAATTCACATAAAATGAATACTTTTGAAGCACAGTGGGTTTTATTTAGTATGTTTATGGAATTGTACAACCATCCTCACTAGCTGATTTTGGAATATTTTTAATTCAGTGAGGGACTACATGAAGAAACTTGGAAAGAGCACAGGACACCAACAATCGCATAATTTTTAAAGGACAAAACATTTTCTTCTCAAACAAATCAAAGGCCTGAGATTTTGGCTTGTTAAAGAAGTTGATACTACAAAGATGGGCAGGACAGAATGCTCTCTTGGAGGGCTTTTCTCTTTCTGGAATTCAGTTCATTCTGACTTCTTGACTTGCAGATTAACACTTCCCAGAGGTCCCAGAGGTGCCAACGCATCGGGGCTGAAGGACGTATCTGTTCTTGTCCAGATGTCCCAGAACCAGAACAGACTCAATCCCACAGGTATTTTCAGAGGGAGGACTGTCAAATTCTATTTTCCAAAGATGGCCACAATAGTGTATGTCCCATCTCACATGAAATTCTTAGATATTATGTGGTCACTCCTCTGTTAAGAGGTGGAGATTTAATTTCCCTGTCCTTTGTGACTGTCTCGACAGAGTTTGGCTATCTGATTTCTGAGTCTTCATGATAAAAGGCAATATAGCTTCTACCTGAGACTCCCTCTTTGTGAGCCTGCGGTAAGAATCTAGTGACCACGTTGTGAGGAAGCCCAGGCCAAACGGAGGGGCCGTGTGTAGGTGTTCCAGCCAACAGCCTCAAGGAAGGGGAAGGACCAGTATCAGCCAGCATCAACCCTTACTTGTGAGGGAATGAGTCCTCAGGTGGTTCCTGCCGCCAGGCTTGAAAATGCCCCTGCTTTTCCCAAGTGGTTCAGAGACGAGATTTCCCTGTGAAGGTCTGTCTGAACTGCAGATTCGAGTACAAAGTAATTGCTGTTGTTGGGAGCCACTAGGTCTGGGAATGTTTGTTATACAGTAATAGATAAGTGAAAACGAAGTCTTGGAGTTAAAACACATTTAATTTCTCTATGAGATGCAGAACCTCCTTTAGCCACCCAGGGGAATGTTAGTGAGATCTGTGAGCTCATGGGATGACACAAGGTGAAATACTTTCAGCTGCTCTATAGCTAACATATCGACCCTCCAGGACATCTTCATTTTAAACAATCACATTTTTTTGATTATTACAGTTTTATATATTCATGTGGAAAATTTGGAAAAATGAGAATTGAAAAAGAAGGGACATGATCTGACTCCCAGCAGTGGCAATGGTCAGTTTGGTCCCTTTCCCTTTAGTGGTTTTTTTTCTATACATAAAAATCTATTTTATAAAACATAGGTCATATTTGCATGGTAATATTGATGTTGACCTATCATTCAGCAATCAGGTTTTAAGTTCTAAGTCAGGCACCCTGATGGATGCTGCTGGAAAAAGAGAGGTGGAGAATAGGCCTTTAGCTTTGACTGTGACTTACCTTGGGTCACTAGTGAGATACCGAGACTTCATTCCTAGGGTGGCCAGGTGTTCCCTGGTGAGCATCGAGGGTGCCTGCTGCCAGGGCTGGGCACAGCTTAGGAGGTGTTCAACCTCCACCCCTCAGTGGCAGAGAGGCTTATGGGGTACCTGGTAGGGTTTGCCCCCAAACCCTGCCCCTTTCAAGTGATATACCTTTTGAGTGGCACCCAAGTGACAGCTCATATTTCATCTGCCCATTATGCAAAAGCTCTCCCTTAGAGATCCACTGTGAAACATAGAGCCCGTGGCTTAAAATACGGTGGTGTTCATTTTAGAATTTGTTAAGAAGCTAAGTCTCATGGCCAATGTTCTCACCAAACACCCCCCACCACCACCACCACCACTACCAAAACTGAAAACCAAAGGGCACAAGGAAACTTTTGGAGGTGATGAGCATGTTTATTACCTTGGTCATGGTGATGGTATCATGGGTGTTTGAACATACCCAAACTCATCAAAGCATGTACATTAAATATGTGCAGTTTTTCTGCGTATCAGTTTTGCCTCAATAAAGCTGTTTTTTTAAGTGCTTCCTTATTTAGAAACACTTAAATGCAAAAGTTGAATTGCATTCAAAATCCACTCTCATTAACACAAGAGCTCGTAGAAATTAAGTGAACTGTGGTAAATTTTAGCACGTAAAATGGTTGTTTACATTTTTTTTTTACCTATTCGTGCAAAGTTTCTCTTTGATGGAGAGTATTAAGAACTTTCTTTTTTTGGCATGTGTGTAAACTGTGTCACATAAAGCACTCCAAACAGGAGTGACAATAAAGCAGACCTTCTGGGCGCCATCACCAGGCAAGAAAGGGTAGCCGGTGATGTATTTGAAGAGGTCCATCAATTGCCATTTCAAGCATAAAATATCATGTAAAAAATCTGTGTCACATAAAGCACTCCAAACAGGAGTGACAATAAAGCAGACCTTCTGGGCGCCATCACCAGGCAAGAAAGGGTAGCCGGTGATGTATTTGAAGAGGTCCATCAATTGCCATTTCAAGCATAAAATATCATGTAAAAAAAGGCTGCATTTTTTTTTTTTGCAGGACCAAATCAAATTGTTTAGTAGGGATGTTAAAAAGATTTTGACACCTTTATTTGAGCACTGAATATTCTCCCTAATGCCTTTTTAAAAATTAACTTCTTTTTTTTCCCACTAGGCCTCTACAGATGCCCGGAATCTCTGCCCCACAGCCTGTCTGGGTTACAGACACCAGCGGAGTCCATCCTGACACCGGCAGACCGGTGTTTACAAGATTCTTCTCCCTGCTTGGCTGATGTAAGAACCATCGGCAACAGCTTTCCTTAGGGAGAATGACGCCTGTACGTGTTAACCTCTTGTGAAAAATGCTTGTTTCTTTATTTTCAAGCTTCTTTTCCTTTCCTTCTTGTATGTTTCCCAGATAAAGTTGAAGCCCCTGGAGTTGGGTGGGTATCTTACCTCCAGGGGAGCCACAAGTTTTGTTCCATTTGCTTGCTATCTTTTTGTCTGCTTATTTGTTTTTAGTATTTTTAGTGTTTTGGAAACATTTCTGTTCAATGAGTGTTTGAAACTCAGCCCCCTCCTCCCTGCGATCTCTGCGGGCACCTCCCACTCCCAGACCTGGAGACCGGCGGGTGCCACCCCCAGCCGTGGGGGGGCGCGTGTCACCCGGGGGCGCTCCCCTCCCACCCCTCAGCCGGTCCTGGGCCGCGAGCGCCGGCAGTCGGGGCACTTCGGGGGGACGGGACAGGAGCCTCCCTAACGGCCGTGAAACTCTCCCGCTGTTACTCCTCCGGAGACCGCAGGGGACCCGGGCTCCCCCGGAGAGGGCGCGGGCGGCAAGGTCGGAGTTGATTGGAGGGTTCACGCCTCTTCCCCCGGGGAGGTAAGCCTCCGCTCCCAAGCCCCCGGGAGGGGAGAGGGTCGACGTCTCTCTGATGCGCAGACACCTGCGGCTCTGGCTGGGCGGGCGGTCCCCGAGCCCTGGCGCCTCCTTAAAGCTGCGGCTCCGCCCCGCGCGCCCTCCCCGCTCGGGGTTCCGCCCAACCGCCCGGTTCCCGCCGCCGGTGCGGAGTATCGCCCAGCCGCTAGCCTGCGAGGAGCGCGCTGTCCACCCAGTCCCCGCGCGGGTCCCAAGTCCCGCGCCCCCGTATCCGCCACCATGGCCAGCGAGGACCTGGGGTGCAAACTGCAGCGGCAGCTGCCGCGGGAGAAGGTGCAGGCGGGTTTCGCCCTGCCAGCGCCCCTGGCCGCCTCAGCCCGGGGGCCCCAGCCGGCGCCGGCGGCGAGCGCGGACGCCGAGCTGAGCGCGCAGCTGAACCGACGGCTGGACATCACCGAGGGCGCTGCGCAGCCCCGGCGCTGCAAGGTCTTCAACCCCTACACCGAGTTCCCGCAGTTCAGCCGCCGCCTCATCAAGGACCTGGAGAGGATGTTCAAACTGTGAGCTCCTCGCGCCTCCCCGCCGCGGGTCGGGGTGGGGGGTGCCGGGATGAGGGAAAGGGGAGGTGGCGGTGGGTAGGTCCTTCTGGCAGAGAGTCTCCGGCCCCGCTTGGGTGGGACAGGGCGGGATGGTGCAGGGAACAGTTCCAGGGGTGCCCTTAGCGTTTAACCCGACGCCCCAGATCCTGCGTGCGCCAGCTCTAACCCCGTGCAGTGGGACACGGCCGGGCTGGGACACCGACAGCAGGGGCCGAATCTCTCCCTGACCGAGCTCAGAAGTTTCCGTGGGGCAGTGCAGCCCGACCCCCACCCAGCTCCGGGCTCCCGACAGCCTGTCCTGCCCGCTCCGCCCGCGAGGTCTGAGATTCAACCTGAGCACAGCTTCTAGGAAACAGAGACGCGCCGTGCCTCACCTGCCAGCTTTAACTTTGACCCCCAAGGGAGAAATTAGCCCCATTGTCCTTTTATCTTTTAAAACTAAAGAGGAAATTTATCTTCGGTTGCCACGCGGGGTCTGACGTACCAAGAGAAGGTGAAAACTGACTGTTTGCAAAAGATCAGGACGTTCCTGGAGTCGTGCACGTCCGGGGATCCTTGTGGGGGCGTCGCCTTGCCTGTCTTCCTCTGGCTTGCCTTTTGGGCAGGAGGCGCCCGTTGGAACCGGACGTGGCAGCTCGCAGCTGGTCCGGCGGGGGCTCATTCCTGTCCTGCCTTGCAAGCCCCACCCAGTGCGGAAGCTGCTGGCGCGCCCCAAAACCGGGCAATGGAAGCCGCAATGAGAGCCCCTCACTAGCCGGCCCTCCACTAATAGTCTGGTAGTGCCCTGGGCCTCAGTTTCCTCATCTGGAGAGTGGGGGCAGTAGTCGTCCCTGCCTTTTAAGGCCTTAAAGAAATCCACACACCGTAAACTCCTACCAAGCTATTAATATTATTTCTAGAATTGGGCCAAGACCGGAAAAATGCCCGAGGGAGCGGAGGCCTCGGGCCAGGTCATGCTTGGGGCGTTTTAAAAAGCGCTTGGAATGTGTTTGTCCTCCCGCGTGGAGGTTCTATTTAAAGGCGCTGTGGTGGGCGCTGTGTGGCCAGAGCGTTGGCCCCTTCCTGAGGCTGGGCTGCGGTCCAGTCCCGGTCCCTGCGCGGAGGTCAGCAGAGGCGGGCACCCGGAGCCTCCGTGCCTCCTCCACTTCGGTGACACCTTCATTTCCCAGTCGCTGGCTTGTAGGCACTGTTCCAGGTGTTCAGAGCTGGCGGGTCTAGTTTGAGAATTAAAGAGGGCTGGGTTGGGGCAAAAGAATGCCAAACTGGGGCAGAGATGGACAATAGGTGAATGGTTTGTGAGACCCACCCTTTCGGTTTATTTGGGGTTGGGTCTTTCTTGGGAAGACTGCGGGAGGCGCCCATGGCCCGCAGTTCCTCCGGTTCAGGTGGATTCAGGGAGGGCATCTATGGGACTAACGTCTTTAGCTTGCTTCATAGTGACTTTGGGTTTCTTTATTTATTTTGATTACTATTGTTTTTCTCTGCAGAACAATCTTTGGAAAGATAAATTTGCTTGTACGTTGGCTGCCTAAGAATAGGAAAGGGAGTCCACACACAGTCAGAGGGTCTTGAGAGTCCAAGCAAGATGAGATCCCCGAGGAAACGGGTACTAGAACAGCGCCAAGCTGAAGGGAAGGCAGTGTGTGGTCTGGGCTCCAAGCAGGGCTGGCAGTCCAGCTCATGCCTGAACTGCACAGTCGTTCTCCTGAGCTACTGTGTTGGTCAAAATTCTAGGTTGGGTTTTCTGTCACTTCCAACCAAAATTGGCATAAATCAAAAGGGAAGTAATTGGCTTGTAAAACCAAGAAGGCTTCTTGTGTCAGGTATGGCTGGATCTAGTTCACATGATGCCACCAGTGCTTAGTTTCTCTTTTTCTTAAGCCACGTCCTCCCTGTTCTCATTCTTAGGTGGTTTATCCTTGGTGATGGCAACGTGGCCACAGCAGCTCCAGTAATTCCAGTAGGAAAGGGTGACCACAGCAAAGACCTCTGTGTGTGTCTCTTAGAGGCATTCTCTCTCCCTTCCTTGCTCTTTTTTTTTCCTTTGGAGCTTTACTGTTGTTTCTTCCTGCCTCTGAACCAGGGCGCTTGGCTGCTCTGATTGGCCAGGTCTGAGCCATGTGCCCTCCTTGTACTGAGGAGTGCAGCCCCACCCCTAGAGTGGGAGAGGGTGGCCTTCACAGGCAAATCTGGGGCTGTGAATGACCTTCACAGCTCCATCCTGGACCTTGACTGTGGGTGGGCTCAGGCCTGCTGCCTGGTTCACCTTCAGCCAGAGGACTGGCAGTGCCTGGCATCAGGGAGTGCGTGCGGGACACAAGTTGCTGCAAAGAAACCTTTCTGGGGCTCATTCCCCATCCTGGAAGGCTGGGGAGGTGAAGCTGCCACTCAGAGCCAGCTTAGCAGTCTCTGGAGACACGAGCATGGCAGGGGGATCAGAGAGGCACAGGGTCAGACAGGCGCTAGGACCTGGGGTCCTGAGCAAGCTACATAATCTCCGTGAGCCTTAGTTTTCTTGCTGGAAAAATGGGCACCAGTACCACCTTCCTGTGAGGGTAGCTGCTGTGGCTGCCAGGGGCAGAGGCCCCTGCCTTTCTTTTTCCCTACCGTGGTTTGGAAAGGGCCCTTCCCTTAAACCTGGTGTTAAGACCCAATTATCTGTCTTGAGTCTGGGGAGGGTGAGGCCATAGCCCCCCCATTCCAGGGTCATTGGCTGTGGCCATGGGCAAGCTGCTTGACCACTTGTCTTTTTGTCTGTAAAATGGGGATTATAGTTCCTTTCAAGGGGTTTTGTGAGAACTGAGATGACTGGCCGACGAATGCTGAGTTGGCATGGGACACAGAACGGGGCTTTTATTGGAAGATCACCCCCATTCCTGCCTGCATGTCCAGAACCCTCCCCACGATGCCCCGCCTCCCAGCTACCCACACCCCCCTATAAAAGCAGGGATTCCATGGCCCTCTCCCTCTGGGCTTCCACCAGCTCAGTGCCCCTGGCTAAGCTTGGTGGTTTTCCCTTCAGTGTGCATCTGCCAATTGCCCACCTGGAAGGCAGCTGAAACTTCACTCCCTCGACCCGACCAGGGCCCGAGACTCCCGGGTCTAGGAAATTTTGTTACCTGGGCACGTCGGATGCACCTCTGCTTTTAGTCCTCATCCATCCTTGGTGCCTTGAATGTGGCCGTGACTCTAATCTATGGGAAACCCTTTGTCTTAAGAAGGGGCCTTGCCATGCGTGTGGTCACTAAGATCAGACCCCGGCTACCCCTGTGCTCCCTGCCTTCCTGCCACTTTGAGCTCCCTTTAGGCAGCCAGCTGGCCCCAGGACCACCTCTGCCAAAGCCTGGCAGCCCAGAAGGGTTGCCTGCACCCTGCTGCCCTTGCTCAGGCTGGGGCAGGTGGGGGGCCCCCTCCTACCGGGAAACTTGCTATGGAGCTTGGCTTTTGGGGATTTGCCGCCTGTCCCAGCCTGGCAGTGCCTCCTGTCTGGTAGCTGGCTGTCTGATGAACAACTTCTCCCAGCTTTGCTCAGGCCCAGCCCTGATGCCCTGATTCCCTGATCAGCCTTGTTCAAGTTCTTCCTGCTTCACATGACTTAAAACAATTTTTTAATTATGTCTGGGTAGGTCCTCTTGGAAACCTAATTGCTTGCTCTTCCTCTCCACACCCGCTCTTGCACTGACCCTTATCTGCAGCTGCTTTTGTCACATGCAGAGGGCCTGGCAAAGAGACCCTCTTGCGGCCCACCCCGTCCAGCCAGCACCAGTTGCTAGCATCTGACCCCAAGTGAAACTTGGTCAAGTCCTCCGTTTTTCTCTTTTCTTTGGCTTCCATGCTTAAAAGGAACATGTTAAAGATCCCAAAGAGCTTATTACATATCAGCTTGTTTTCCACTGACGGCCTTACCAAGTTTTGTCCATTACAGAGGCAGTGTTGTGAGGCTGGTAAGAACCTGAATGTGGGGCCAGGCTTCCTGGGTCCAGACCCGGAGTCTGCCACCTACTTCCTCGATGGTTGCCCTGGGCAGGTTACTTAAAAGCCCTGTGCCTCCGTTTCCCTGTCTGTCAAGTGGGGATAGAAGAGTACCTGCCTTGTGGGGAGTAAATAAATTAATGTATGTGAAGCAGTTAGCTCAGTGCTTGCCCCACTAAGTGAGAGCCTTGTAGGTGTGAGTCACTAGTTTTCAGATTATAACATCGCTGTAATTTGGGTGGATTTGCACATTTTGTGTTGCCCTTTTTTGTTTAATAGTGCACACTTTGCAATGTCTGATTTATCCTTTGAAGTTGATTTCACCTGCAGTTTGAGCTGCGTGGTGAGCCCCCCGGACTGTGCCCTGCCCAGTCCCTTTCTGGGCTCTGTTAAAAGGATTTATTCCCACTGCTGGGTGAGTGGAGTGTCCCAGGGCTGCCAGGACAAAGTAACGCAAACATGGTGGCTTAAAATAACAGAAATGTGTTTTCTTACCCTTCCAGAGGCTGGAATCTGGGGTCATCAGGGCCACGCTTGCTCCGAAGGCTGTCGGGAAGGATCCTTCCATGCCTCTTCTGGTTTCAGTGGTTACTGGCAATCCTTGACGCCCCTTGGCTTGTCAATGGCATCGTCCTAATCGTGCCTTGACAGTCACATGGTGTTCTCCTGTGTGTCTTTACATGGCCTTCTTGTAAGGACACTAGTTATTGGATTTAATTTATTACATCTGCAAAGATCCTATTTCCAAATAAGGCCACATTCTGAGGTTCTGGGTGGCCATGAATTTGGGGGGGACCCGTTCAACCCATTATTGCAAGTGAGCAGAGCTGCCCAGTCTGCATCGAATCTCCCCACTTCCTCAAGGAATGGGAGGCCCTTCCAAGTAGGCTCTGGGTTTTAGGGATGTCAGAGCCCTAACTGATTTTGGGGATTGAGGGGATTTAGGAATGTTGGAGACTTAACCAAAGCCAGCATGATTCCTACCCCCA